GTACAAATAGAAGTTGCCTAAATTTGACTGAAATATTTTAAAATTAAAACCTAGTAAGAGCGATTAAATTTTATTTTATTATATTTTTTTTTCTATATTTATATATATTTTGTTATCAAATAATATCCAAAGTATATTATTATTTTACCTAAATTAAAAGTACATATATTTTTTACTGTTAACTCCAAGAATTACTTACTGTTAGAACTTAAAAAAAATACTAAAAATAATATTTTTCAACATAAATAAACTCTATACTTTCGAAATTAAAATAAAAAAAATGATTTTTTATATATACATATGCTAAGAAAAAAAAATTAAATTATTGAAAAATATATTTTTTTAAATATATAAAATATACTGAAAAATATTTTTAAATAATTTTTAAGCAATAAAATGTTAATTGGAGCTCTTTGAAGTCGATACCTGGGAAAAGCTTGAGCATACCACATGTAATGAAAATTGTGGAAACATACAAAATATGAATAATATTATGATTTAATTTAAAAAATAAAAAATAATAATATATTATTTAACAATTCTTATTTCATAAAGAGATAAATCGTGCAATTGCCTGATTCTGATTAATATCGTGGTGGAACTCGCTGAACAACATTAATCAAAATAAACTATATATTTTTAGCCTGCAATCTAGCTTTGGAACATGCCCAGGGCTCATCGCCGAACTAATCTCTGCGCGTTTGGCAACGCTGCGCTGAAAGCATTAGAAATAAGGACGCATCATTAATGGCAGCAGCAGCAGCAGCAACCATTTGCAGCAGGCAACGGGGAGGGCCGATGGCTGATGGGCCTTGTGGCAACAAACGGTGGTGGAGGAGATGGAGTGGGAGTGGGAGGCGGATGGATAAACCGGCACGCACAGCAGCCAGCGGCCACATTGATTCACAATGGGATCGGTGCATAATTCATCACAATCAACAGCAGCAACAGCAACAGCAATGGCAACAGCAATGGCAACAGCAATGGCAACAGCAATGGCAACAGGAGTTGACTTCGTTTCGAAATTTCCAAATTCAATGGCTACGTAGGCCAGCTAGTCCTTGGCTGTGGTAGCAAACGTAATTGGTGGCAGGTCCAGGTCCAGGCTCGGGCCGAGTGGCAGCATCAGAGACTGCGTGCAGAGGGGAATAACAGCAAGGCATATGAGTGGGCGTTGAGTGGGGGTGGCTCGAGCACAGAAAAGTCACCAGAATCTACGCAAATGCTGACTCACCAGCCCAGAGCAGCCCAGAGCCGCCCAGAGCAGCCCAGACCCGCCCACGCGCCCAGTTATCGAGCTGTGGGCACTTTCATTGCGAAACTTGTCAAACTTTTAGCTTCAAAATTCTGAAAGTACCCTCAGCAGCCTTGTCTTCTCTCAATGCGTCCTCTTATTGTCTATGTGTGTGTGTGTGTGTGTGTGTGTATTGTTGTTGTGTTCTGGTGTTGCCTCTTCTTCTTTTGAAGCTTTTCTGCTGCGTTTACTCAACGCTTGTTGTTTGTGTAACATTCCACATCCATTTGTGACAATGCGTAAAAAAAAAACAAAGATTTCTTATTAATATAGATTCAACAGATACCCTGTAAAGGTTAAGGAATAATTGTGTCGAAATAATAGAGACAATGATAGTCATGGTGTTGCAGCAATAGTTATCATATACAAACTGAAAACTTATCGATATCTTTATTTTTAACAGATTAGCTTCAGCAGTCTGAGATATTTGTTGTTCATTTTTTTTGAGTTCTTAAGACTAACTCTACATATCAGGATATAAATTAGATATCCACGTATTTCAAATTATTTTCTAAACAGGAATCGTAAACCTTTGAAGTATATTTATACCATATATTTCCCATAATGTCAAAGTGTTCACCTTTGGTAATCCAGCAGTTTTCTATGATTACAGGGTACAATAACAACAGCGCAAAAAAAAAAAAAAAAAAAAAGAACAAGAAAAAAAAAAGAAAAAAAAAAAAAAAAAAAATTTAAAAA